AATGATGGAGCAAGAGGAGTCTGAAAGAGGGGGGAATTTGGACAAGTTAGCAAAAAGAGTGGTTTTGTTGTTCCAAAGCTGAATATTACCCCCTTGCTTTTGTCTAACAGAAATATAAACATGCTGTACAACACTTCTGATTATCTTTTGTTAGACTACCTGAAGAAAGAAGTCACATTTTTTCATGACTTCTTTGATATCTACACAGAACTTAACATATTTATCTCTGAAGTCTCAGTTGAATGATGTTGCATTGACATGAGTCAGCCCCTACTAAAATACAGTATGAGAGACATTGTTAAAGAGACCAGCATACTGAGGTATATATAAGAAAGAACAAAAAAAGTATTTAAAATTTTATGGAAAACTCTATGCAGTGGATGAATTTCTCATGAGTTTCAGCTTTAAAAAAAAATACTTGTAATGGAGCTCCTGCAGGTCATTTTGACTCTGTTGTGGAAGAAAATTTCCTCCTTTAGTACACTGTTCATCAACTCTCTGAGCTGACTGATGCCATACATGCTTCTAACAAGCACACATGGCATTTGCTTTAGATATGTTCCATATATACTCATTTTCATTCACCATAATTACACCGTACGTACAAACACATACTACTGTGTTAGTCTGATCAAAACCACACTTTAAAAAACATGCATATGTTACGTAAAAGTTTATGAAATTTGTTTTTCAGACCTAAGCCAACACAATCAATTAGGTTATACAATTATATTTAATTCTTCTTGTATATTACCACAAGCAGTGGCTGGACTTACTGTCATTTGAGGACAATGATGTCCTGAGAGAAGCAAAAAAACTAAGTATAAAGATGGCTGCACGATAGTAACACTAAGTTGGCCAAAGTATCTATTTTAGCCCCACTATAAAGATGTTCTAACTCGAAAAAAGTAGATGTGATGTCTGCCTCTTACCTAGTGATTCTATTTTCAGGTGCTCACAAGGAAATTAAAAATGTGATTTTAACAGTGTTGTAACATTAATGTAAAGTAAGAAAAACATCATAGATCAAAAAAGAAAACGGGACTGAAAACAATATTCAATTTCACTCCTCTTCATTAGGCTTTGTGACTTGCAAAAGGAAATACTTGCAGAAAAGAATTGGATGTTTTTACATGGGTAAACATGCATGTGAATCATATTTCCCTTCTAGTGCCTATAGGGGTGGTGCTTAACTGAAGGGCGCTATGGGTCACAATATAATAAGTCCTATAGGATTTAAACAACTTACTGGCTGTGGTTTCAGATGCAAGACTTCAGAACAAAATATTGTTAATATACGTGTCCCAACTGTAATAGTCTGGACTGCCCTTTGCACAGTAAGTAAATGGCTTATTTGTAGATAACTGATTAAGATAAATGCAGCTCTTTGCTGCTTTTACTGTTGCATTGAGGGGATCTTTGATTTGAGAGGTCTCTGTGGCTAACACTGAGCAATGACCACTATCAATTCTGTATACAGACAAGGATTCAGACACATATTGGAGGTTGGGGTAATTACCTCCCATGTAATGAAAATGTATTTAGAAGTTTTGAGAATGAGTTTTAAAAAAAAACTTGTCAAGAGACAGTATGTTTCAGGTTTGATGTTAGTTGTGTTAGAAATATTTGGAAAGAATAACAAAATCTACATTCAAACACACTTATAATTTTTCGAAATTATCATCAGCACAATCATCATTCTAACATCAATTTGTTATTACCAATTTTCTCTATGTATTTTTGTGGGTAAACTTACCGGATCTTCGAATGTTTGATCTTCTTGCACCAAAGCAAACACTGGCTGTGCAAATTGCACAAAAGAGTAAGAATAAGAGAGTCCTTCCTTTACATGCAAGATCCATATCTTCTCTTTGTCGAAAGTTTTACGCCCTCAAATGTCCACATCAACACACATTCAAGCGCACAGGTAACTTTATTTCTCTCTGATGCATTCGCCCGTAAAAGTTTTCTCAAAGAAAAGCCTTTTTGCAGCCCGAAGTTTGGCACAAACGCTGGTCAAAGACGCACGGGATCTGCCCGAGAGGAAAGGGCAACAACGGTTTGACACTGATAAGATTACAGTCTGCAAAAGATCAGTGGGTTGAAAACATAAACTGACGAAGAGCCGGGCAGTGTGCCCAGACAGGCGCTCCAAAACGCAGAACGAAAAGCCTCCACAATCTTCGCGTAATTCGCGATCACTGACACCGCTCAATGGAAGCCACGATCATTTTTACGCATGAAGATCGCTGTCATGTCACGCCCCGGTCTGCGTCTTAGAAAGCAGATGAACTGGAAAACCAAGTGCAAGGAACGTGGGGCCATTTAGAGCTAAGAGGATAATAAGCGTCTAATCCGCGCACTGCACACAGATGGAGAGCATGTCTTGGCGCAGAAGCAGGGGAGCCGCACAGACAGCAGACTCTTAATATTAATACCGTGCGTTTGATTGCTCTTTTACGCACAGCAATGCATTCAACAACAAAAGTAACTTATAAATACAGCGGATAACCTCAATGTCCCCAAATTTAGAGTCAGATTATGAAAACAAAAACAACAAATATGTGTTTATTTACAAAGTTCATTTAACGAGACCTCAGCCAAATGACTTTAGTCATTAGGGAGCAAGGTTTTTGACACAAAAAAACTCCACTGAACCTGGTTCGAGTCTGGATAGCCTGCCAATGCTGCTAAATGTGTGGCTTGCAACTTTTTTTTTTATTCTTTGTTTTTTTTTTGTAAACTGTTCTGCAGTTCCATATGAATTTTCAAAGAAGATTCAATTTGCTGTGACCATCCATCTAAAAACATAAACTGACAAAAGTATGGCCAATTTCATTAGAGTATGTATGCAGGCAAAATAAGCCTGGTGAAAAATATGGATTTTCAAAAAGGCAGTTTTAATAATGTACACACAGAGTACAAGGCATATTAAAGATTGATTAATTTTATATTTTCGGTGAAAAGATTCCCACACACATTCAGTCCCATACAGCTTCATCTGGAACATTTTCTGTAATAATCTGTGTCAAAACACAGCTGAGGCAAAGTTAAATGGGCTTTTTTTCATTTGTGGACTGACATTTTTCCATTTGTTCCATTTTGTTGTCCATTTTCACCACGTAATATTGTTTTATTAGAGGTACCATGGTGAAACTTTCTATTCCCACAGCCTGGAGTCACTGTAATTCATAAGCCATTTTCATTTTCACTCTGCTGGTCATCACCCTGAGCCTCATAGCCATGGAAAATAATATAGCACTTTCATTTAACCAAAACGGGGGGGGGGGGGGCGATCACTCAAGCCATCAGTTTTTGAAGAGCAATTTGAAATCCTTTTATCTAATTTTGATCCAAAACATTTGATATGACAAATATTAGGCAACATTAAGTCTCCTGGTAGAAATGCAGACTAGTACAAAGAATTAGTTACTAAAAACATCACAGTATTATTACATATACCCTGTAGCCTTTTTTTATAATGACTCCTGAAAAGACATACCACATGTTAATCAAAACGCGGAATATTACATTATCCACAAAATGATGTTTTCAACATTTAATGTCAACGGTAATATTGTACTTCCCCCTTACATATCCATACCCACCCATGGCAAGGGTCTGGACTGGCCTTTGGAAGTAATCAGAGGCTCAGTCAGCTTCCAGAAGATACTTCTCCATGTGGAAAGCCTGCCCTGGGGTAAGAAATCACAGTCAGACATATTTTATTGCAGCATGTTTGAAATGAGCGGGTGATAGAGTATGTTCATTCAATCAGCGTTGACATGATGTAAATGTCAGAAAATGTAAATGACATTAAATGTTTCATCAATTTGGGAATGCTCAGCACACAAGAGACCGAGTCAAATCGGAGATGGAAACATCAACAGAGTCAGTGAGCTGAATCACCCACTCTGAATAGTATTAGCTTGTTTAAATATGTATTACCAGCTGTTATCTATCCCTGAGTTAGAGTGAAGAAAGATTGCAAACCTGCGCCGTGGCTGAATATGAAGGTAATGGATCCAAACGCAGATTTATATCAATGTCAAGGTTTAATCAGCTCTGGTTTAGCCCATTCCCCACCTCTGGTGCAGTTTTCATGCACATCTAAAACTCCATTCACTTTTTCTCTTTCATTCTTTGCATCCTACTTACTAGAACACATCAAAAATTTTAAATATAAAATTGAGTGTGACCTTGGGATTAAAGTAACTCAAAGGGAAATCAATCCAAAATGGCTGTTTTCAGAATCCACAAAGCTAAAAGCCTGTCATCTGAGGTCTCCCTCGAGGATAGCAGCTGATTGCAGTGTTGACTACATTCAATAAAAGGTTGTCTTTCATTTTCTTCTCTGTAATGACATTCTTTGGCAAAAGCCATTTTATGACAGAAAGTGGCAGCTCCATAAATAACCCAGTCAAAGAAATAACTGTTTTCTAATTAAATCATTAGATGCAGAGTTTGCCCACGATTGCCAGACGTCAGTCATTGTGCCTTTTATGATGCCTTCAGATAGTTTAGCATTTATTCAGTCTGAGTACAGAATTAACAGTTATGTTACCTGATTAACTGTTAGCTTCTTTTAAAGTAATGTCTTGGACACACTGACGAATATGATCAGATTGTTTTTATAACTTTTAACAGCAAACCCCAGCACAGCAGAATGCTAAAGGAAAATGGGAAGGATGAATTATGATGTCCTTAAAGAATTAGAATGATTTTTTTCACACATTTTGATTGTTTTCATTTCGATTTATTCTGGTATTTGAGTAAAATAATTGTTGGTATGTAGACTGCATGTTCAGCTCACAAAAATACAATTATACCGTACATAGATACAAAGTTTAATGTCAGTTCTGTGTATTAATTCATGAAGGTATCCTATATAACAAAGACACTCCTAGAAATGGCCTCAGCAGCTTTGTTAATAAAAGATGAGAGAATGACACAAAAGTTTTATTATAATTTCAAGAAGGCTCAAGTCTTGCAGTTGCTAGAACATGAAATGGTTAAACTCCACACGATCCACATTAAATAGATAAAATACAATTAGTCTCTCACAGATCTAAATTCAATATGAGCTCTTTTACTGTTTTACAATATTTCAATTTCAGGGAAAAAAAACATCAACAGATTACAGGAACTGTGATGTCATCCACTGGTAAAAATAAATAAAAACACATGTAAATACTTTGTCAGAAACCAAATAGAACCTGCAACTGTGTAAGGCAGACTGCAGCAAAGTGCACTGAGATGTGAGGTGGCTGCTGTGATAGATACCAAACTACTGGACACAAGCAGAACTCAGTGGTTCCATCTCCTGGACATATGTAGAAACACAAAGATGAGACGGACAACAGAGCAAAGACACTATGGCTTCCAGTAGGACAAAGCTTTAGTGTCCTCTGTGACCCTTTTTTCCCTTCCTGCACATGTATTAGTGTGAGGAAACATGGGAAAACATCAAATTGGTTGCTATTGCTTAGGTATGCATAGGTATGTTCATCAGATGTTTAAACTTCTGTCCAGAAATGTCTTAATTCCAATTATTTTGTATTTCAATCTCCACATATGGAATAAATACAGGCTAAAAAGGTTAAATCATTAATTGATTTGAAGGTAATCTCAGCCAAATTGCATAAAAAGTTTACAACTGACTTATTTCTAAGATGTGGAAGCCTGATTTTATAAATACCCAAAGTTCATGAATAAATGTCTCAAATGCAATTTTGTGTGGAATATTTCCTCATCACCGAGCTGGCAAATGACTCAATGCTGACTCAAAGAGTGATAGATGATCAAGGATGCTCTCAGTCTTAAGAAAAATGCATTCACAACATGCAGCCAAGTGAAGAACACTCCCCAGAAGTCAGACAGGCTTTTCATTATGCAAGTCTACAACAACAGAAAAGAAAATAAAACTCATCCTGAGAGCAAATAGTGGACGGTTCACCCCAAGGTTATAAAATTAAAATGTCTAAAGATTAGTAAGACTTGATTAAACTCTGCCATAAAAAACAATTTAAAACGCCAGACCAGTTCTGGCACAGCGCATTGTGAATGATTAAACTTTTATCAACATGCACTACAATGATGAGAAAGAGAATTAAATAAAAGGTGGATGACAGAGACCCAAAACTGCACAAAGAGCAATTTTGAAAGACGGCTTCACAAAGCTGTTCATTTGTCCAGTTATATAAAAGGAGGTTAAACATTTCCAAGGCATTCCTCCAGTTAAAATGTTGAAACCTCAAAAATGAAAACTCAGACATGCCCCTTTGTTTTACACATAATTATACTTTATGTTTGAAATACAAAATTGTATCAGTGTTTTGTATTACCCGACTTTATTTTGGCCTTTAACAACTATCAATGGTAAGATCGAACTGGAGAAAAACAAAGTAGGTCATTTGTTTGTTTAAACATAAGAAGTGTCACTGATCTCCCGTAAACATTCCGGGGTTATCACCCCACCGTTCACTTCAGCGGGCATCTACACGCAGAGCTCCTGTTGACTCTCACCCTGAGGTTCCAGCAGAAGCACGTGCTCCTGGTGTCGCTTACTTTCTAAACACTCCGGGGGCTCACCAACTTGCCATGCCATGGATCTGAATGAAACCATCCAGAATTATAGTGGTAATATAACCATCGCCAAGGGAGCTTTTTGCCGCTGCATAAAAACTAATTCAAGCTAAGCTATGAGGGCCAGAGATCTGCTTTGAATGACGTTTCTCACCTGTTTTTGATGTTGCTGGTATTCAGGTTCCATTCTCCAACTAAAGGAGAAGGTGGCTGTTGTATGTGCTGACCTTCACACAGAAGACTGTTTTTGGATACTCCTGCTGGAACTAGAGTGTCCCCATGAGCTCAGCTGAGACTGACCTGTTCATGCTCCAGTGTATAAACTTACTAATCTGGAAACCTGAATGGCACTTTTGACATTTTGATGGTGGAAGGGATCTTGTTTTCAGCATTTTTTTTTTTAAGTATGAACTTTTTTTTAATTGCTCAGTTGAACACTGTGCTGTATCTATTCATACACAACTTTGGTAGAACTAATGATCAGATTCATCAAATGTACCTGTTTTAGTTTGCTCTGTCCTGTACTGTTTTATTTAGGTGACCCCTATCCCAGGGCAGCTGCAGTGGTCAGCATTTGCATATGTGTAATGATGCTTATTCTTGTGTTTTGTGTTGGCACCTGCTGGTTTACTTTTTTATATATTTTTGTCCCACTCCTGGCTGATCACTGATGTAACTCACCTGTGACGGTATGACAGCCTCCCTCTCTTAAGCTTGGGTCTGTTCTTCTCAGCTCATCTGCTCATGCTCATACATGGAGAAACGGGTTTGGTGTCATGTCCAGTCAAGGCCTTTTGTGATGAGCCTGTACCTCTTCGTTCTTGCATCAGGAAGAGGCCTTGGATTTGTCTTCACTCAGGACTTTTGTCTTAAATATTGGAGTCAAGAGCCCAGAGACTGGTTGTCAAGTTTTTCTGTTTTGTTTTTTGTTTTTCAAATCAATAATCACTTGCCCTTTTTTAAGCCAAATTCTTTGGGGGATTACTACTCAAGGTTGCAACGGAGTTTCTGCCTGATCATTAAGAGTTCACATTTTCAAATTGGACACAAACTTTCACCTGTTGATCTACCTGTACTTTGGACCAAGACCAACACATTCAATCTAAAAAAGAATCATTATTCATAACTCAGCATATTCATTGTCTGATTAGGATCCTGCTGTAGCAGAAAACCTAACATTTTGTCCCTGAACACATATTAAAAAAGCTATTAAAAACACTTAAAATAATCATCTGGCTTGCATGTTAAAACTTTGCTCTTCACCAGCCTCAATGCATTCTTAGGTTGCCATCTCATGTTGGATGCTAATTACGAAATAGCTTCCAATTATCACATAAATTATTTATATGTGAGTAAAGCTGACCCCCACTGGCTCTGACTGATTTAATTGCTTCTAGGCCCCTCTGAGTAGCTCCTGTAAGCATCTGTTTGCAGTATTTTCTACTTGGCAAGAGTTTCATTGCCAGAGGATGAAATATTTCCAAACAGAAAGGATTGCAAATCAATGGAAAAAGAAGTCTCTTGTGAGTGTAAGCAGGCAAGGAAAAGACAGAGTTTGCAGTATACTGAGAAGCTTAAAGAGTTGTGCTCACTGTGGTCAAGTGATTGTGACACAATTTAGCTGATTCCGGAATTGTTGTATATTTACATAAATGCTTAAACTGGACTGGAGGACATTATAAAACCGTTAAGCCCATCAGGCCAGACACATATTCACAGAAGGATCAATAAATGTGGTAATTGGTTTAAATTAGATTTCATTCAGTATTGTTCTTAGCCCTATAATACCATATGTATCCACGTGGTATATTTGATACATATGGTACATATGGAGACCTTTTGCATAATTTAATGGTAAATACTTTGGCAAAAGCGCTGCATGTTGTACACAATCAAATATACCTAAAAACAGCATGCAGAAGACTACACGACCATAATTCTGACTTATCGCCTGGTATAAATCATATTCCGTTTTTTTCATATTTTGTTAAAGGGCCAAATAAAAACTTAAATCCTAAATCAGGCTTTAAATTGTTAATTACTTGGAACAAAAAGCACTCAGGGGTCGAAGCATCTGCAGGGATTTTGTGTGCATTACCGGTGGTCCTGCTCCTTTTCGTATATCCATCAATCCATCCATTTTCTGAACCGCTTATTCCCTAATGGGGTCGCGGGGGGACTGGAGCCTATCCCAGTGGTCAATGGGCGAGAGGCGGGATACACCCTGGACGGTCCACCAGTCCATCACAGGGTCACACAGAGACACACAAGGACAAACAACCACTCACACTCACCCCTGAGGGCAATTTGGAATGTCCAATCAACCCAACATGCAGGTTTTCTGGAAGGTGGGTGGAAGCCCGAGAACCCACGCAGACACAGGGAGAACATTCAAACTCCACACAGAAAGGTCCTGGTTCCCCAGGGGACTCAAACCCTATTGCTGGGAGGCGATGGTGCTAACCACCACACCACCGTGCTGCCCCCTTTTTTTACTTCACCCTAATTTGAGATCACCAGAGAATAATTTTGCTGCCTGGAAACCTCTAAAACATTTAAATGCATAGATATTTCATATTGAATTATCTTGTGAACGTTTGTTAATAAAACATACTCATGTATGAAGTTTGCATGAGGAGATCTGGGGTCTTTTTGCAGCCATTAAAACGTTCAACACATCTGTTCCCAGGGCTGCACTCTGGCTAAAATGTGCAGACAGACACTAATAGATTTGTGAAATTCGTGATGAACTAAAGATCAACCAGGCAAGGGTCAAAGCGTTAGGAAAATCTCTCAAATCGTGATAATGTGATCACTTGAGTTTTATTCGAAACAGTCTGTCTGGGAGGAGACAGGACGGGCAGAGGATGAACCACCAGACGTCACCACTTCATCACAGCCCTCTCTCCTCCCTCCTCAGCACAGTCTGGATGGATGTTGAGAGGGTAAAACGAAGTCGTCGTGATCTAAAACTGGAGCAGTGGATAGCCCATGTTTTCAAAGTGTGTGTGGACATTTTGCAGACAGCGTCAGAGGAAAGGTTGCAATTTTGAATTGTGCTTGAATTGTGATTTCGGATGCTTTGGATGTTTCCCCAAGCAGCATTCTGTGTAGGTTTTTTTTTTTTTTTACAAGTGATCCTGTGCAGAGGCAGGCTGCAACAGACCGACCATCAGTGCTCTCAGGGGCAGGAACCAGAGCTGCAAATGAACGTCCTCAGTATGTCGTTTATCTTTTTCGCCAGATGATACCAGCTGACTGTGCATCACGCCATGTCCTTGTGTCGGATCGAATTGGACAATGAAGTTATGGGATAGCCTGACCACTTGTTTGATTCTGCTGAGTGCGGTGCGCGCCGGCGCGCTGCTCCGGAGCAGAACGCAGCTCGCGTCCGGCCGGAGGAGGGGGCGCGCAGCGGAGAGCCCGCTGGACATCCCGCCGGTCATCCCGCCGGTCCAGACCCGCCTGTCCGGTCAGTCCCCGAGCACAGAGCCACCCGCATCAATCCCAGAGGCAGACTCACTGATCAGAGGTGCAAAATGTAAGGGCGAATGTGGACTGGGGTACCAAAAGTGACGAGAACTGCTTTGCATGCGCACACAAACTGGTTTAAACGTATGATCACCATAGCTTTTTTTTACTCCTAAATGTAGTTATGTCATCAAGGTGTGAAAAAAATTCATCTGTGTTGTTGCTACCAGGTGCTCAGGTGAAACAATACAGATGAAGGCCAAAGAATACCTCCTAACTTAAATTGTATGGTGAACATTTAACCTTTAATTTGTTATATGCCAATTAAATTATCATAAATATTATGTCTGGAGGCCATATGCTGCCTTTCAGGTAGTTCCAATACATTATTGCCTCAATTGGAAGTTACATACACTGCCTGGTAATGTTTTTGTTTTAAATAAAGCATACTTGATAAAGTTTTAGAACATCTCCGCCTGCTTGTTAGTTTGCCAGGAGAGAAGAGGATACATCTTTAACTGATTCATTTTGTCTGTCTCATTCCTTTCTGTAAGAGGGGACAGATGACTGTTGAAGTTAAGGACAGATTTAGCATTCTTGCAGTAATGAATACCAGCTGATTAACTGTGAAATAAACTGTACATTTGTCCTTCATCTGGTGTTCAGCCATGACTCTATGGACATAAAACTGTGACAGACAAAAGAGTAGGATCCATGTATAAGAAATCCCCTGTATGGAGTTTTTCTGTGGAAAAAAACAGGATTTATTACATGTAGTCAGATGTATGTTCCATGTTTTTTGTGTATTTTTATGACCAGTATATGCTCATTTGAAACAAGATCTGCCCACCACATACACCATATCTTTGTAACGCTGTTATTTTTGCTTAATGTATTTCAGACACCATGAAGGAGCCCCTCCCAGATGACATTGAAGACGTGATTGACTTCATCAAAGTAACCATCAGCAGGATACGTCGCTCCTCGTCTTCCTCTGCGTCTTCATCTACCTCCTCCTCCACCCCCTCTCCGCTCAGGGAAAAACTGAGCAGCAGGACTCGGCGGAGACGGGGAAGGAAGGAAGATACTTCAAAGGGCAGGGGCAAAAGTGGAAGAAGAGGAGCTAAAGTTGGGGAGATGGGCTCTAAGAACAGACGAGGGGGCGGCGGCGGCGGGCGAGGACACGGCTGCCTGCTCAAACAGATCCACCTGAACGTGTCAGACCTCGGGCTAGGCTACCGCTCCAGTGAAGAAATGATTTTCAGATACTGCTCGGGCCCTTGCAGAAAGTCTGAAAGCAACTATGACAAAATCCTTTTCAATCTCGTTCACAACAAGAAGCTTCCCTTCAAAGACACTCCCTTGCAGGCCTGCTGTCGGCCAATAGCGTTTGACGACGACCTCTCGTTTCTGGATGACAGCCTTGTTTACCACACCGTGAGAAAGCACTCGGCCAGAAAATGTGGCTGCGTGTAGTCACGGAGGATTACTCTTCTGCTCTGTGTCCAGTGTGTTTTTTCTGTAGGTTTTCCTATGCTATGGGGATACTTAAAGACATCCTGTAAATGGCTTGAATGCACAAAGAAGAATCAATGAATTTAACAGGTGGCATCGTCCCATGGTTTTTACCTCAAAGCCTTTTCTTCACTTCCCGTCCTCTTCCTCTCATCTCAAGAGGAAAAAAACATGATTTCCTTTACAATCCAAAGCTTATATAAGAAGTGAGCTCAGAGTAATTTAATCTGATGATTTCTCTACATGTTTAAGGAACCTAAGAGACTGAACTCATTTGGACTTATACAACGGATGACCAGCAAACTCTCTGTCCACTGTATAACATGTACGTCAAATTGAGTTTAAGTTTTTCCACATCTAAAATGTATGTGTGGAATTTAGACTTTATTAACTTATTCTTATTTATTGTGCTGTCAGTAAATAAACGTTATTTATTACTCTGATGTAATATCTTCATGTAAAGACCATTTACATAGCAATATGACCTTTGACATGCTAGGATCTGATTTTAAAGGTACACTACATGATTTTTCATGACAAGTCAGGTGGACATTCAAGATTTCTTTTCACAACATGTTGTGTATGTATATTTGAGCTTTAGTTAAGAAGCAAAAATGTATTTTTTTCTAAGAAATGTTTAATAAACATTATTTCAAAATAAGTTATGTTTCATTACATTTTCAAGCAAGAAAATAACTTAACATAAAACCTTAATTTTAAAACTATTGTTTTGAATGCAAACACCATGCAATAATTCAGAATTTCAAGAAACAAATTGATAATTTTGTTACCAACCAAGTCTTTCTTACTATTCAAACATCAGTGTGGTGTATGAAACATGACTAAATAAAGATACAGTGACAAAAAAATGCTTCAAGAGAGGAAGAGAAATATGCTATAAGTTCAGTAAGCTCAGCAGGTAGAATGAGGAGTGGATGTTGCACATGGGGGAACACGTACAGACATCAAATTCAACATTGATGGCATTTCATGTTTAACATTTCATGTTTAACTTTGAAAATTGATGTTTTCACAATGTGAAAGGTACTGGAGCCTGTCCCAGCTGTCGATGGGCGAGTGGCGGGGTCCATCCTGGACCGGCCACCCCGTCCTTCACAGCCTATGCAACAGAGTGGTTTATACTTCAAATATTCAGTTTGATTGTTGTTCAATTTTGCATGAGGTAAACTCTGACACACATGCACACAATGTGTGGGACGACTCTAGAGAACAACACACAACGCTGTTATACTGACTACAGCCTAATAAAACATTCTGGTTTCCATTGTTGGTTCAGAATCCTCTCTTGTACCAGCACCTAAGTGTCAGTGAAGAGTCATTTTTGTGCAAAACAGCAACAACAAAGCATTCAATCTGATCTCTGTTAACAACTGAGAGATTAATAGTCTCTGATGTTATCAAGTGACAGAAAGTGCAGATGAAACTGCAATCCATATCCAAAGCATAATCCATAAACAAAAGAAAGAAAAGAAGGTGAAACTGACAGTTAACAATGAGTGATAGATAGATCAAAAGTGAATGTCAGGAGATCTGAGAGCATGAAAATGAAACAACTGGATGAGTGGGAAATTAAGTGAGGATATGGTATTTGAAGAGAACACGAGGACAAAGAAAAGAGCGTGTTTAAAAGGTGGCAGATATTCAGAGAAGACAATGAAGACAAAGATGCAGGAATTGGAGAATGTGACAGGAGAAGCTTAGCCTTGCTTAACTAATGTGTGGGGTCGATATACAATCTGCTCCCGCTCTCTCAAGTTTCACCCTGCTGTCTTCTCAACGGTGAGTCAGTAAAACCTGGTCCATCATCTTCTGGGCAAACACAGCTCAGAAAGTACTCTTCCATTTGTTTACGCAAATCAATCCTTAAACGCCCATTCTGTGATTCTGGGTGAAAACAACTGTGAACTTCCTCAGTGCTGAAACTGATGAAGTTTGACATTTGGGATATCATCTGTGGCTGTTTTTGCTCTTCAGGCATTGCACACATTTTTTTATGTTATGAAAAATGTGTTTCCCTGTGCTTGACCTTTGTTATTCAAACAAGCCAACAAAGTAACAAAAATCAACAGCTACTAACTTTGATTAGCGATGTCACCTCCCAAAACAAATGTGTCCCAGTCTTCCTCTGAGCTTCCTTGCTTTTTGTTTAGAAAAAGGAGTTCAGTGAGTGAGTCAACGCTTTCACCAGGCTTAACTCATACTGTAAATCATTATGTTAGTTTGAAAGCCACAAGCAACACTGTTCCACAGATTCAGGGTTAAACAGCTTCGTGTAAGAATATTGAGAGAACATAACAACCACTGTGGGGTTTTCTAAACACTTTGCACAAATGTGCCCGAATGAAAACTTTTGGCAAATGACACACAGTCCAGCATGGTGTGACAAAGCATTGAGAAGATCATTTCAAATCACAAGATTGCCTATCTACTGTCCATAGCTGAAGACAATAAAGGAACCCATTAGAGCCCAATGACAGCCAAAACATAGGGTCATTTTCTGGTGAGTCTTCTGCTCTTTTGTTGAAGGTGACAGGGTAGCTTGTAATGAGGGATAGGGTTCCTGTGTGGTGTAATACAACACAAGTGTTAGTAGTATATGGGATGGTGTTCCAGGCAGGTGCTGAATACAGGCACACATCTACTTACTGATCCTTTGATGAAACCAAAAGAACCATTGGTCGCTCTACTTATCAGAAAAACAAAATAAATAAGAATGGTTATTTCTCTGTCCTATACCGGCATTCAGCTTTGCAGATACACATCAGGATTTTGAATTAAGCTTCTGACATATGCTTTCAGCACTGAGACATGGCACTGATAACCCAATCACAAGAGGGGACGCCATCCCTCCCTTGTATCCGCATCCTTACGTTGTCACATACTTGCATGTGTTTGAACCCATATGAGAAATCATGCCAAACAGCTTGCTGGTTCTGGTCTTTCTCTCAACCTTTCCTGCTTGCTGCTCACACATTCACAAAAACATTTACAAGCATGGCTGTTTAGTTTTAAGACCCGAAAGAATCCGCTTTCGCTGTTTTCGCACAGGCACTGCAGTACTGAAATATTCCAGAGACATTCTAGAAGGAAGGTGTGTGAGGGAAACAAATGACTGTCAGGTCTGCGGATGAAACATCTGGCAGTTCATCAGGTGAGCTGATGTGCATCCTGGTAGCTGTGCTTTGTGAACATGCCGGCAGGAGATTCTGATGTTGCGGACCTCCAAATGCGTCTGAGTTTTCAGATTTTTCTAAAATATCCTCGTGTTTTGTCGCGTGACTGTTTGTTCTATGAAAAAAGCCCAACAGTGAGAAAAACCTGATCTAGTACTTACTTTGAGCGAACACAAAGATAGATTGTTTTTCGTTTTGGGTTTGTTGTAGTTTTTTTTTTTTTTTTACCAGGAAAAAGCCTAATTTGTGTCTCAACCTCCAGGCTGGTGATTATTTCAGGATTTACAGAACAAGAAGTTCACCGTGGCACCTCAAATTATAATCAATTCTGCTCAAAATTACCAAGCAGCTTGTTTATGAGAGGAAACAATTGCGGGCTAAATCTTGTCCACAACCATTGTCTCAGTTGGCTTGGGAAAAGATACTTATGATAAACTAAATCTAAGCACCATTACGGTATATCAATCAGCAAAAAAGAACCGCTCCAGCGTCCACACCAACTGGTCTGTTCATGTGACTCAGGCAACCCGACAGGGCAACCCCACAAACGGTGAAGGGAAAGTTTTCAAAGATGAGATGTTTCCCACTCATTCACCATAGTATTCTCATCCTGGTATTCAGGTCAATAAAATCTGCGGGGTCTGACACTATTTAAAGTTTAAGTGCTAAAGGGAAATCTCCAAAATCTTTTTTTTTTTAAATACCTTGGGGTCACAATTCAGCTACATTTAAGAGACAATAAAACTGTTAGAAAAATGTCTTGTGGTTTGTGAATGCCATTAGAAAAAATCCTACCAACCAACAAAGCAGAGCTCAGCGCTGTGGAGACTCTGCTCTTTGGTCAGGCTCCAACATTAAGCAGACACCGCGGGGATTAACCTGGAGCTGTGACCACAGCCCACTAATCATCAACTGGCACCAAAAGTCATGTCTGGACCACCAGCTGCTGGCCCCCACCTCCACACACAATCACACATCCATACACACAGTGACAAACACTATAACACGGTTGTATTCAACTGAATAAGGCCCATGCTGTGATTGAACCAGTGGAGAGGGGAGGCGTCAAAAGGAAGGTGTCAGAAGTAAAATCGAAGAGAATTAGATTCCAAACGTATATGTATTCAGCTCAAGATACATGTGATGTATTTATGTATGTTTTCTAATTGGTTTGATCATCAAGAATCGTCAGTTGTGTGTTAAGACAGAAGACCTTGATGGTGATCTGTCAAAAGCTAATTTGAGGTGCGAATAGTGAGTGTAACGTTATCGCCTGAATGTTGTTTCATAGGAGGTGTCAGATGGTTAAAAATATAAAATATTCAAGTGAAACCCGAGTGTGCTGTACAACGTTCTGCCACTGCCTCACACATGATCATGTGTATTTGTCTGTGCATCTATGTGTGTGTGTGTGTGTGTGTGTGTGTGTAAAAAGGGCAAGAAAATCTCTATACAAGACAGAGGGAATCTTATATTTTGGCTAAATTATGTTTTTCTTCATTTCATGTAGAAGATGTACAACCTTTGACCTGGTTTACAACTAATTAAATTTGATTCCAATCGTATACATTTTTAGTTTTTTTACCTACAATCCCAAAATAAGATGATGAAAATCATACTTGTTTAGAATTTATCTTTGGTCTGTTATGTCATGTGGTCGGTGAGGGACTCATAACGGGAACATTTATTTTATTTTTTTTAAATCAGTATTTCAAGGGGAAAAAAACATAAACTAAATCAGTTTTATATCTGGATGCCTGGAGTGTATTTTGTTATTCTATTTTACACATGTTTTGTTCTTTGTATAAATTCAGAAATGTAAAGTTTAATGTGTTTCACAGTGGTCTTTGAATTCTTGTTTTTTCATCTCACCATGGATCTGGC